AACACTTGATATCTCCGTTGGGAAGAGAAATGATATCTAAATTTTTCAATATAAATATCACAGCAAAATAAACGCTTCACTCAATCATTTAACCGCAACAACAATAACAGCAATAATAATAATAATATCTTATATTAAAAATGAAAACGAGTTTTACTATTCATATTTTGTAATATAAGTTATAGTGTATTATATAACAAGTAATAACTTGTTTTCAATAGTGAAATGCGTTAAACATATGATATAATCAAATGGGAAATTAAATGCAATTTTTCCGTACATTATATACAACACAAGCAATCAATCAAAAAATATTTGCTGTTTTTTATGAACGAGTGAGCAATCAATCGATGATACATTAAAATCTAGTTAAAAACTAGCGTATGATATATCCTAATGGATAATATCGGGTATTATAGTGAACACCCGTTACAGTCTATCAGTGATGTACACTAATGAGGGCTATTGTGCGCTAAAATATCCAAATGTATTGAAATTAATACTTAAAATAAGTTACAAATAATTCCGTAGAAACTATTTGTATAATATTTACAAATATTTACAAAAACGACACATAACTACACTATAAGCGGGAGTACACTGTAATTATACAGCATTTATACAATAACTAAAACATCAAAATTGCATCCAAAAAAAATTCAAACACAAAAATTTACAAAATATTATACAAAAAAATAAATAAAAACCAATTTATATATAAATATTTATAACAAAACAAAATCAAAAAGCATTTCATTCACTCAATAATAACGCGATAGAGAAATGGCATTAAATTTCAATACGATTAATGAGAAAATAATTTCACACACGCTATGAAAATGCACTTACATTTCCCGGTGCGACGACATCCGAGCAGTAATAACAGCCCAGTTCTAGTCCACTCACTTTGCGTGACCTCCCGGGGCCGCCGCCACCGCCGCAGCTGTGGTCAGTCATCTTAGAAGACGACGGCGTGGGGGCCGACACCGGAGCGGCCGCAGCGCTCAACGCTTGCCCGGACTCGGCGTCGGCCACAGGGGTGTCCACACGACGGACGCCATGCCTTTGCACGAGAAACGTGTCGAAACCGAGCGCAGCGTTTATGACCAACTATTTCGGGGCAAACATAACACCAATTATTATCAATATTTCATTAAACACTATATGAAACTCCAATCCATACCTTATTCTTGACGGTCGCCAACACAGTGGGCAGCCATCGGCTCTCCCGAGTGTCCATCAGCAGGAAAATGACATCGTGTTCGTCGACCAACGTCTCGAGCAGTTCCACGTCTTTGCGACAGTTTTCAATCACTTCATTAGTGGACACAAATTTTTACATATTTTTCACCAAACAATTGCATTCATTGTATGGAAGCATACGTTGTTCAGAGATGGGGTGTCCGGGCATTGGTATCGACAACTGGACGCCTCGGGAGTTGACGTTCGGGAATATAGTCTTAAGCGCGTCGGCGGCGGCCACGGCTTTGGGTCGGCCGCCGTCCAGACAGTCGTTGAACGCGAACAGCGACTGTCGCACCGGATTAGAGTACGAGACCTGTCCGTTGTCCACGAATGTGATATTCCTGACCCCCCAGGCCTACCGGTGCCCACAAATTATACCATAAGATCAGTGATTAGTGTGAAAAACAATAGTTAAAACCCGTGATTACATACGAGTAATCCGCGGCCCACCGCACAGCCCAACGTCCCGGAGCCCAGTATCAGACACCTGGTCGCGCATATGGTGTCCAAATCAAGCGACGGCACTAAACGCCAGCGCATTAGCTTCAGATTCAAGTCGACCGCAGTGTCGGCCAAACGGATCGGATCCATGAGCGCCGACAAGTCCACCACTCGTGGCAACAGTTTATTCTTCTCGTTCTTCTCCCAACCGACGCACTCAATGGTGTCCGCAGTCGGAGCCGACGCCGGTGTCGACCACTCGATGTCCAATAGGAGACTAGTCTTCACCGACCGCTCCCGCAGTCGAATGGCCAGTACTGAGCATTCGGTGAGTTTGAAGTGGACAGCAATGAGGGCCAAGTAGTTCCTGAGCGGCCAACCGGGGTATTCATGCGAACTGCAAGAGTCGGCGAATGCGAAGTATAGCTAATTAGCGGGAAATGGGGTTTAGTTTAGACTTTTTGTGGCAAATGAAGAGTTGGCTACCTTTCCATCGGTTCTGTCCGTAAGGGAAGAATATTCCTGTAATGTGTGGACAGAGATGTGAGAGTCGTTCGCAAAGACTATGAAATAAGTTTTGCTATTGTTGTCTAAACCGGTCGTGTATTTGGCGTACAATGTGTTCATCTATTGGTGTGAGAGTTATATTGGTTTGCATTTAGAAATTGCGATTAAAACTTAATTAGTAATTAATTTTACATTATTTTCGGACCAAACACTGGCCAACACTTTAGGCGATCCGTTGGTTAGATATGTTTTGTCGGGAAAACACAGTCCGGGAAATGCGAACCAATAATGAAATTTATATTTCTTTAAATCCTATTAAATAACAAAATAAATGTTTAATTAAATTGAAAATATATTTATATTGAATAATGATTACAACAATCTCTTACGGCATATACTAATAGCGCAAACTTTGCCAACGATTGGGACGGGTGTTGAGCGCCGGTGCCGTCAGTTATGTCTTTCCATATCTGTATTACAAATGATTATTAAAATAATAACTGAATTAAAAGTAATAACAATACAATTCACAGACTTCTGTGGCAAATATCACCGCACAATAGATCCAGTAATTCAAAAATCACCACAAAGTCTATACCTCTTTGGCCACACTATTAATCAACAGTTTCTTGTCTTTGTTGACAAACTCTTCGTACGTATTGGTGACCAACAGTTGGCCATACATTGGGTGACACTCTTTGCTCGCATCGCTATATCTATGAATAAGTAAACAAAAGTAATCAATGAATAACATTCTGGATGTGATAATCGGTGGTAACGCTTAAGACATACTTCTCGAAGGACTCGTAATTGACGTTCAAAAGTGGCCGCAAATTGAGGGACAAATCTAATGATAACAACAGATAAAACACGTGTTAATAATGGCATGAAAAATGTGAGATCAGCTCCGGGGGTGTCATCTCAAGCCCAGGTATATAACAAGTGTGTGACAGCAGTGGTGACCACAACCACTTGGTTAGGGGTTTTGGGACCAGTTGTATGTCAATCACCGCCACTACAGCCCATACCTGTCCTGTAATGGCCGACGATATCGATGGCCGAGTCGTCCAATCGGATGGCGTTGAGCTTCTTGTGGGCCAACAGATGCCAAAAGCCGGTGTCGATGACCGACGAGAACGGGAAGTACTTCACTAGCGGTGGATCAGCTGCTGGTAGTGTAGAAGACATGCTGTCACGTGACTATCGCTCGCCGGACCTAATGATTGGCAAAGAGTTTGTGTCGCGAAACACGTGTTTAGCCGTCAATTGAGTGCCAATTCAATACACGTTATCATCAAATCATATGTTGTTTACAATTAATGTTTTGTTTACGAAAGTAATAAATGAGTGAATCGAGTGATACATAAATTACGGCCAATAATACAGTTTTAAAGTATTGAAAACTATTTAAAATAGACAATTGGATTGAATTGAATTGAATGACAATATGAATGAACTAGATTTGATTGTGCATGGTGAAGTTAATTATGGGATTAATTATTTACAACAATTAATATTATTTGTTTATTAATTTCCAATAATTTGTTTACTATTTTAATGAACTCAACAGATATTGTGGGCCAAAGCCGTGTCCACCGATTCCCGTCTGGAAATGAGATCATTGTTTAGATATTTGCGGATCAATTGACTGTTGAAAGTCTGGACTAACTTTTTTGCAATTAATGATAAGAATTAAAAATTGTTAATAATTTAAACGAATTAAAACCTTTTTAAAATTGAAACATAAAAGTAATGTTACATCTAAATGATTATAAATAAGGCCCGGGAAAGTAGGCAAAATAGTGTTATGCATCACTCGAAGATAACTAAAGTATTTTTGATCTTTTTATTTGTATTATAAAGTATTGCATTATTGTCCGGTTTTCCACCAAAACAAACCCGTTGTCGTCCAGAGTCGGCAGATTGTTATTAAGGTTTACCTTATTATAATTTATAATCCTAATCAATTGTCATATCGTTACTTAATTTTGTTAAATAATAGACAAAATTTAGTGTGTTTTGAATACAATTAGGTGTTTTGTGTGAAACGATCATGTCTTATGAAAATTAACTTCAAAACGGCTCAAATTTTAAAAATGTTTTAAACAAAAAAACAAATCTTATTGATGAAAAAACATTAATTGAAATGAACAAAATTTGCGCAAATGTTAACAACTACTGCATGCGCATGAAAATTTTGATCCACGTTATCATAACGTCGTTATGCTAATAATGTGACAACACATGGAGATACAGATAAAAAGATCAAAAATACTTTAGTTATCTTCGAGTGATGCATAACACTATTTTGCCTACTTTCCCGGGCCTTAATTATAAATTATAATATTCCTGTATTTGTTAAGCTTTCAATATTAATATGAAATTTATATTAAAACTATAAAAAACAATAGTATTTCAGAAAACATTTATTGATTCAATATCTATAATAAATTATTATTGACAATATGAATGAACTAGATTTGATTGTGCATGGTGAAGTTAATTATGGGATTAATTATTTACAACAATTAATATTATTTGTTTATTAATTTCCAATAATTTGTTTACTATTTTAATGAACTCAATAGATATTGTGGGCCAAAGCCGTGTCCACCGATTCCCGTCTGGAAATGAGATCATTGTTTAGATATTTGCGGATCAATTGACTGTTGAAAGTCTGGACTAACTTTTTTGCAATTAATGATAAGATTTAAAAATTTTTAATAATTTAAACGAATTAAAACCTTTTTAAAATTGAAACATAAAAGTAATGTTACATCTAAATGATTATAAATTATAATATTCCTGTATTTGTTAAGCTTTCAATATTAATATGAAATTTATATTAAAACTATAAAAAACAATAGTATTTCAGAAAACATTTATTGATTCAATATCTATAATAAATTATTAATAATTATGTTTTCAATAATTAATAATTATTAATTATCTAATGGAGAAGTAATTATTAATACAATTATTGTAAAAGTTTTCATATAAGTTGCAAATGTTAGACAAAATTTAATTAATAATATATAAAGAATAATTGTTTTACAAAAATTAAAGCATTGATACTTTAACTAAAATCTTCTTAAATAAAATAATATTTTTTATTTTTAAAATTTTTCTATTAATTTAAGACTAATTTTGGGACAATTGTTGATGAGATGATTGACAGCCAATTGTGTGCTATTATTAGTGCCCATGAGTTGAATGCAACGGATTTGTGTCAGTCTTGACAATGCATTCAACACTTCATCCGTTATTATCACTCCTTTGAGTCTCAGATCCAGAAGTTGTGGTAAATTGTTGTGAATATTAATAAAGGTTTTGTCTGTAATTATAGATTCATTATTATAACTAAAACGATAACTTATTGTTAAATGTGTTAATTGTTTCATTGAATTCAATGAATTAGTGGTGAATAGTTTTGTGTGCTATTATTAGTGCCCATGAGTTGAATGCAACGGATTTGTGTCAGTCTTGACAATGCATTCAACACTTCATCCGTTATTATCACTCCATTGAGTCTCAGATCCAGAAGTTGTGGCAAATTGTTGTGAATATTAATAAAGGTTTTGTCTGTAATTATAGATTCATTATTATAACTAAAACGATAACTTATTGTTAAATGTGTTAATTGTTTCATTGAATTCAATGAATTAGTGGTGAATAGTTTAAATTGTTGTGAATATTAATAAAGGTTTTGTCTGTAATTATAGATTCATTATTATAACTAAAACGATAACTTATTGTTAAATGTGTTAATTGTTTCATTGAATTCAATGAATTAGTGGTGAATAGTTTGGGAGAAAATCCAATCATTTCCAATCGCTTTAATTGTTTAAAGTTTTCATTAATTACTTCGGAAATTGACTGAATATTTGTCGAAATAATTGTAAGACTCTTGAGTTGCGGACATTTGGGACCAATTCGTGCCAATAATTGCTGATATCCGGGAAATAGCGTGACATTAATTAATGCCGGCATTTGTAACAAACAATCTGATAAATTGTTAACCAAATTGTCGTCGATATTAGTGTCAAAATTTAATTCAATTGACTTAATATTGTGGCCGTAATTGTGAGCAAACAATTCAAATGCATTCAATTCAATCGCGTTTACAAAATATTTACGATAAGTCAATGAATTAAGGCGTTTATATCGCAAAGTATTTTCAACTATAAATGCGGGCATTATTTGCGACAATTTTATAGATGTTTGAAATGTAGTCAAATTCACACACATATCAAGCCATTTAAACCACACATCATTTATAACAGTGTTGTCTAAACCACACAATAATATGCTTTTCAATTGTTTGGCAAACTTTGCAAAAAATCTGGCAAAAGTTTGAGGAGAAATTGAGGACAAATATAATTGTATTGAAATATGTGTCAAATGATTGCAATATTTTATAAGCAAATCAATAAATGAATCCTTAGATAAATTAAGACTACAATTATTGTATTGATAACAAATATATGTAATATTTGGACACTTTATCAATATTTTCTCAAATATATCCAAATTATCAGTAATTAAACGCTTATCAAATTGTAGCACAAATTGTTTATTATATATCAATCTCTTTGTCTGTTTTGATAGACATTCACAACGGAATCGGTCTTCAAATGTGAGGAAAGACAACAACTCTTCGCACAAATCGTCACCAAATCTATCGAAAGATGATTTACTATAGATTTGAGGCATTTTTATGATACAAAACGATTGAAACAAACAATTAAAACGACAATTAAATCAGTTGTCAATTAAAACAAACTTTTGAGTGAATGTGTCATAAATATTAAACACTTGTTTAGATGTGTTCTCATCTCTGGTCAGACATCCAATGAGTCTTGTGTTTAAAATCTCAAATAAAGGATAAAGTTTGGGTCAAATGATAGATAAAAGTATTGTTTAAATAAAACACAAAAATGATAACAAAACAAATTGAAGGATTAGTATTTGTATTTGTGGTGACTTTCAATGCTATAAAGGAACGGATGTGTGGACACAGTTGTTGGCACACAAATCAATGGATTAGTTGATCTCCTGTTATGATAATTATAATTTATAACTAATTATTGGAGAGGTATATATGAAATACAGTATATGTTAATTCAATTGTTGTAATAAATTAAATACCTTTAAATGAAAATTTTCAATAAATATAAATCACGCATTTTAGGAAAATTTAATTTTAAACATTTATGAATTCTTTAATTTAAATACAATCATACGTTATAAACTATAAAACAATCATTTATTTTGTGTGTAATAATTAATTAATTTGTTTAGAGCTCTTCGGGAACAGGTGTTGGGTTCAGTGGCTGCGAGAGTACGGCCCGTACGGCCCCTTCAAAGACCTGATTCACGCCCTCACCGGTCAGAGCGCAACACTCCATATACAGGTGTGCATCGATTTTGTCGGCCATCGCCTGTCCCTCTGGGCCCATAACTGGCGATTTTTTTCATCAATTATTTTATCGACGCTTTCTAACCATTTGTTCCGTTCGTCCACTTTATTGCCCACCAAAACGATGACTGCATTGTTACAGTTATGCAACACTTCCGGACACCACTATATACACAGTAAACTTTATTGTACATAGATGTAACATTTAAAAAACAGATAATATTCATAGGCAGGGGCAACATTGGCTAATGCTAATCATATGAGCAGTTCTAAGTACAGAGTTGTCCATAAGTAGCTAGAGTTTTAATTAATTTTTTAAAAATACTTAGAGTTGAGATATTTTGTTTAAGTAAATTTTGTTTTGATCACAAAAGTGTATAGTTTTTTAGCACATGTTTTAGCACATTAAATTGGCATCTACAAAATCTGTGTACACTACCAAACAAAGGATCAATCTCATCGAGCTGTACATCGAGAATGTACGATCGGCTGCGGCAACCTTGCGCAAATTCAAGGGAAAGTGTGGGCAAAATGTGACCTTAACTTTGACCACAATCACCAAGTCAGTTTTTGAGGAGAGGGATTTTTTACCCGTCGGTCCGTCGTTCCGTTGGTTTGTCGATAATTTATAATTAACTCAATTTATTAATATTATTTATGAATTCGATGTAGAATTTAACGCTGAGTCTGAATTTGAAATTTTGAAAATTTTATCTCGAGTATTTTTCCAGTTATTCGACTTAGAAGATTCGACCGACGGATCGGTTTTTTGTCACTTTTTTACGGCATGTGATTGTGTGCGAGGGTGGTCACTTTGAGAACCTCATCCATTAGTTCCACTAAAACTATCATTATTTATAAATAAAACAAAATTTATTTGAACAAAATATCTCAACTCTACGTATTTTAAAAAAATTAATTAAAACTCTAGCTACTTATGGACAACCCTTTATATCGTAATGCTAAGTCTATGGGCAATGTTATATGACTAATATTAAATCTGTAGATAATGCTAATGTATTCTTTGAACAATACCCGAATTGTGATTAACGTATAACATCGCTGTGTGAACCTTGTTGTAAAATGGCTACATGGGAACAAGTGCGAACATAGAAAGGGTTCTAGATTTTTAAGTGTATTGTAAAAACGAGAAATTATATTTAGCGAGAGAGAGAGAGAGAGAGAGAGAGAGAGAGAGAGGGGAAGAGAGGGAGAGAGAGAGAGAGAGAAACACTTACACTGATGATATGAATCCATCGCCCAAAATAATGGCAGCATATCTATCAATCAGAGTTTTTTTTACCGACGCCTCTGTATTTGTGGTAAAAATATTAATATTCCATAAAGCTAGTATTACCACTCAATTAGCCGCATAAAATAACATTACGAATGGGGTAAATACTGGTCTATGGTTAAGATGAACCCCGATATACAAAACAATACCCATTCATAGATTCTGGAGACTCGCACGTTGGGACTGGCAGTTGGGTCTCATGAAACTGTCGCAAATGACGGGTGTGCTAATCTACTGTTCGGGCACTGCCCAAATGTGAGACTACCATGGTAACTTTGACAACACAGAGGCCATAGTGAAGGGCTGCGAACGGGTGGGTCTGGAGTACGTCATTGTCTACGAGGACCACAACCTGGGAATGGCTAGAGATGCACACCTGTTGAACGTGTCTATTGTAGAGCAGGGAAAGGCAGACATACGTTATCTAATGGACAAACACTTTGCCAACAAAAACTACATTCAACTGAAAGGCGCGCCACTTATACTGAACTACGGGCCCGGACTCAGTGCCTAATATGGAATGAGGAGTGGACGCGACGCCGCCCACATTCACAATCCTATAGCCAGATAATACAGGGTGGCAAAACTGACCGTGGTGAATTTGCGTGAATCATATTTGCAATGAAATTGACATGAAGTTGGGCTTTGACTTGGCCTACACTCTGGGCGGTTGGCCGGGCCCGACCTGGACTATACCCGTGTCGGTGGACACGTTTGAACAGACATTTGACCTAGTTAGAGCGTTTGGTATTAATCGGGTTCAAATGGACATGTGGAATAATTATCATGAGGGCACTAACATCGAGATTGAACTTTGCCATTTTAATTGAGGTTCAAAATGATATGAATGAATAATGTATAATAAAATGACAACACATTATGAACAAAACCAAATACATACCGATCGCCGACGACAACCATTTTAATGGATCCCATTATATGAGTAGTAATGATAACTAATTTCAAATAATTTATTACAATAGAAATGTGTTAATGAAGTGAACATTCAATTAGTGAACAAAAAATGTGTTCAAACGGTGCGAACTCTTATCAAAATCTGATAATTTGTTAAGTATTTTATCAAAATTTTCTACTTTAATGATTGTTTGTCACAAAAAAGTTTGAAAAAACTTTGAAAAAGTTTGAAACAAAAGTGTACTTTATTTGAGGACATCATTGATGGCAAGCATTGATTGTTGACAACAAAACATGTGATACTTATAAACAACTGTTCAGACAATGAATGTCTTCACACATTAGGTCTAAACCGCCGATGAATGCCATGTCTTTGACGGACAGCACAGGCAGTGATGGACTCGAGTCGGTGGCCATCCATGTGTTGCATGTGTTGACCACTAATGGTCTTCTCATCAGTTAAGACATGACTCTCTGCCAGACATTAATTGATTCACAATTGGATTCAGACATCACTTCTTCGCCACAAAACTCGTTGACTTTCAATACAAATAATGTTCATGGTTTGCCAAGTTTCAAGAATATCTTCCAGGAAAATAGTTTTGCTCCGGAAAATACCTATTATTCCCTAAAATTGGGAATATAAAACAAAAATGTGGTCAAACAGTGACCAATCGATATATATAAATATTTTTAACTTAATGAATACATGTATCCTAATATGCTTAAGCATAATATAACAAATGATTTTGCAAAACCTAATGAATTGATTTAATATAAATTAATTTGTAAATTATTTTCTCAACTTTTGAAACTTGCACTCATATACAAAACATATAAAACAAAATGCAAACAAATGAGGCCGACCGCTAATGCCACCAGGGTACTAAATGGATCCTGGTGCGCTAATGCGTCGGCTATAAATAAATTATAAATATAAATAAGTAAATCCAATTAAATTTTATTCAAAATATAACTAATAAATCATTGTTTATATAGTTGTTGAGGTAGTATTTCGAGAGGATATCCAAACATAAGTTAGTGTTAGTGGATGTGGTAAGTGATGGACAGGTAGTGGGCATGTGTTGGCTGCTAATGTGGCCACCACTAGATCAGTTGATGATATCAACACACGTGACAGTCGCCGCACGTGTCCGAAGTGGTTGAACACCCGATTGATGGTAGTGTCCAACACCTGTCGACAGTGTCATTGTGTGCCATCGCTGACCATAACCTCCAATCGGGTCCCGTATATTGTGTCTACCCGTTGGCCACCGTTGCCAACGGATCCGATGTTAAATTTCATGTTATGTGTCTTGAGGTCAGTGTCTGTGTTGTTGTTGTGATTGTGTTGACACAATTCCTGTATATTATTCAATGGTCTGTTGTATTGGTTTTATGTGTCACTTATTTGTACGTAAATTACGTGCGTTTTTAGTGTGTTTTTTGGTACCCCTTTCATGTGTTTTCTATGAGAACTACATTTGATTAACGATTGAATTAACTTTTATTAGTATTGTTAATTGTTTTTATGGTAAATGAATTACCATTTACATATGTTACGGCATTAGTGCAGATAACTGACATTAGCGCGAATATGAATTATTAAATTTTCAGTCGTTTGTTTATTAATTAATTTGAAATAATTTTTAATAGTTGCGTTGGCGCATATTCATGGCATTAGCGTACTATTATAACCGACATGATCAGCACCAATGCCGTCAATGGACGCGCGAGTGTCTGGTTTATGTCATTTGGGATACATAGCAACATTCAATTGTGTTGTCATTCATTCATACAATTTTTAATGTTGATGATTAAGTACGAGTTAATAACTTATTTCATCACTATATATATGAATGAAACACTACATATGCTCTGTAAGTGGTGTTTTATTTTCTAAGAGCCATACACTGATAGCGTGATACATTTATTGCCATACTTTGAACCAAATTATGTGATTTGTGTGATTTTTATAATAATTAATCTACAATTAATACTTAATATAATTATAATTTTAAAAATCTATTTTCCCAAAATAGATTGCCGCTCCCAGACCTTATATTTTCCTTAATTTCCCTCTATTTTCCCTCCCTCCCTCCCGGGAATTTATGGAATTTTGAAATTTTCATGAACATTAAATACAAATAAGTATTTCATTAATCATTAAATGAATTGATTATTAATTATGTGTTTAATTGTAAGGACAGTATTGGCTGTCATCCCATTGGCCGGCGCTCTGCTCTGCTTTGAGTCCACACTTGAGTCCACTTATAGACCACTGTTTGTATCACTCGTTGGCATCACTTCTTGGAAATTATCATCACTTTTATACCACTATTTATTTAAAACGTTTGTTTGAGTTTTGTTTGTACTTGTATTTAATATTTAATTGTTTTTTTTACATTTCAATAGTTATTCAAAGACACGATTAATGACTAAAACACAAGTTTTGTGCGAAAGTCTGCGAAAAAAATAATTTATTCAAAAGTTATTTAATAGTAGACATGAAAGACACGTATCGACGGATGTGTTGGAAGTGTTTCACGCGATACAGAGACCAAACCATTGGTTTGCGGCAAACATTTCCTGTGATGAGTGATATCGACGAAGACGTGAACTTCTTGTGTTGCCTTCCCGTGGATTCGTTCGCCAGGTTTACCACCGATGATGAGTCTGTGATCACACTATCGTTACTTAAGGTATGGCTTGTATTGTATATTAAATATGTAATTAAAACTAATTATTATTTCTATGTATTATTTAGTTATTAAAACAATTAAAACGTTTACAAAACAAGTGAAGAATTTGGAGAATTTGGTCATAAGTTTCAAGAAAATGCTTAGATTTGAATGTTTGAGTGAATTATTGGATTTAAAATTACTGTAGTTTTTAATTAATTAATTTATGAAATGCCAGTCCTTTCCAACGGATTCAATGGATAGCCGTCTCCGACCGCGTACTCCACGCTATGGCGCGACCGCCGGTCCACCGGTCCGTCCATTTGAGCGCAAATCCTGCGGTTCTGAAGGCAAAGTATTAAAAATGAAATGGTAGACAATTGACCACCGATTAGGTCCGACTCACCCGATGGCCGGAACGGCCCAACCCTTACCGCTGAAGTCTGTCTCATAGAGAGTGGGCTTATAGTGAGTCCAGTCCTGACTCCACGGCCGCCGCTCTTCGGGAACCGCTGTTCGCGTCACTGATGTTCGGCTGTAGACTAAACAGTGGATCAGTTTATTGTGATTCTTGGAGAGAGAGAG